CTCTCTCTCTCTCTCTCTATCTCTCTCTCTCTCTCTCTCTCTCTCTCTCTCTCTCTCTCTCTCTCTCTCTCTCTCTCTCTCTTCCGTATTCGCTCGCTCGCCCCCTTTTGATCGTTTACGAGACACACCATTGACCTCCACGTTCGCTCTACTTCTTCAACCCTCGAGCTTCCGCAGTGTACCACCACACCCCTACTAGCTTGCGTTCGAGTACAAAAGTGATATAACTTAGGGAAGGTGGCCTGTTCAAAACGTGTCCCTCTTTTACGTATCATTTCGTATCGTATGATTATTATTATTATTATTGTTGTTGGTATTGTTGTTATTATTGTTGTTATTGTTATTGTTATTGTTGTTGGTATTGTTGTTGTTGTTGTTGTTATTGTTGTTATTGTTGTTATTGTTGTTAAATCGTATTTATTATATCGTATATATGTAAATAATAAAAGAAATTGTATTTAACGGATCGAAATATACTTTATCAATCTGAAGACGTGTATTTAAGTACTTAATTTTTGGTTGCAATCAGGAAGATGATTTTTTTCTTTTGTTTCGTTATCTCTTCCCGTTCGTTTTTACCGATAAAAAAATAATTGAAAAAATAAATAAATAAATTAACGTATTAATAAATTGTTGTATCCTTTTACTCGTTAAAATAAAGCATTAATAATTTTCTATTTTTCTTTTTCAATAATATTTCTATTTTGTACTTATTTTATTTTATTTTATTTTATTTTATTTTATATTTATATTATACTTATTTTTATTTTATACTCGTTTTATCCTTCTTCGGGATTTATATATATATATATATATATATATAAGTATTGAGTTATTATCGCGAATAAATTTTTATAATTTATTAATACAATTATTATTTTAATTATACGTCTTATTGATTTAATGAAAATTCATTGTCTAATTTATGACATTCCCATAACAAAAAGAAAAGAAAAATACAAATACAGAAAAGAAAAATGTAGAAATGTTAACGCTTTTCCAAATATATCCTTCAACCTTTTAAATGTAAACTTTGTTAGTTCGTACGTTCGAAATAATTATAATTTACGATTTGTTTCGTACTCACAATTGAAAGACATTGTCATCGTCAATCAATAATCGTCCACGAACGCAAACGATTATTGCATTAATTAATCGCACGAAAAATTTCATTCCTTTCAATCGGAATTGCTTACGATCATTTAATATTTAAATCGCGAATATATCACGGCAAACAAGTGAGAATTTATTTTTGAGAATTATTTGTTAAATAAAGCAATTAAAAAAGGAAATCGATTTATCATTCGTTCATTCAAACATTCATTTGCTATTTGTGTCTTTCATAATTTTTCTTGAGAAAGCTTTCTCTCTCTGTCTCTCCTAAGCTTTTCCTATTGTTTCTTTTAATTTTATTTATCTTATTTCATTATCACGTCGCTTAATTCATTTCTTCGAACATTATATTTTATGTTTCATATTTTATATATTATATTACGACATATATTCCTATGGTTTACCTAAAATCGAATAATAATCATTTTGAAAAATCATATTTATCTCCTTCTCTCGTACATTCTCCATTCGATCTTTTCTTTCTTTCTCTCCTTTCCTTTTTTTGTTATTTTTCTTTTTCTTAACTTACACGTTAAAGTACACGCTAAAATAAAGTCATCTCTCATGGAGAATGGTTAGTATAAAAAGGAAAGACGACAGAAGAAAAAAGGGAAGAAATAAAAGAGAAGGAAGAAGAAAACAAACAGAGAAAAGAGAGAGAGAGAGAGAGAGAGAGAGAGAGAGAGGGGAGAGAGAGAGAGAGAGATAAAAAATAATAGAAAAAATGGCCGGTGGTGTAAAAAGAGCGGCATAAGAAATGCCTCGACAGTTCGTTCGTTCTTTCGTTTACAAAGTTTACAAAATTTTTCTTGTCTAATTCCAATTTTTTTCTTCCGTTTTCATTTTTTTTTCTCTTTTCTTTTTTTATTCACCGACCGTACCTACCTGTACATATTCGTTCCTACATAAAACATACATTCCTACGTACATACATGCATACATAAATATATACATACATATATATATGCGTATCTACTTTAGGTATCTACAAAAGGAACGTTATCTAATGCTAGGAAGTAAGGCAGTAGTGTTTTTCTCCTTACAGTAGTAATCGTGGTCCATGCTATGGGCATGTAGCGTTGGTTAAATGAGAAAAGTGGTTGTAGCTGAACGCAATGGGCTTGTCAAGGACCGAGTGGCAACGAACAGCAGCTATATACACCTGCTAGTCCGCCATTGAGTGCCAACGGAGCGTTCTATTGACTCAAGCCCGTATAAAGCTAAATCCTAACTGTGACGTTGCCTTTGCTCTCTATTTCTCTCTTTCTCTCTCTCTCTCCCTCTCTCTCTCTCTCTCTCTCTCTCTCTCCCCCTTTCCCTCTTTCTTTCTCTAAATGTCCCTGTTTTTCTGCCTTTGTCTATATCTCTCTGTCTGTCTGTCTGTCTC